GAGCTGTTGCAGATAAGTGAGAGATCTGTAAGTATATTTATATTAATATATCAGTCATGATCTCTGAAAGAAAAAAGTAGAATATAATACAGTGAAAGATATAATAAACTGTGAGAATTAATACATGTGAGACTTAAGTCAGCACTGAGCTATCATAGTATTAGAAGAATGATACAGAGATAATAGATATTATTAGAAGTATTCTATATAATAACTGCAATCTCAGAAACAGTAGACAGATTCTCACAGTAGCAGTCATTACCTGTCTTCAGCTGTAGAACAGAGTTCAAACTGATACATATAGTAGAGCTGTTCTGTAGTATCTCTTATACAGACTGATAAAGCTGAATAAAAGAATTAATCTTAAAAACATTAGCAGTTATAATAATATAATAGAAGAATGTGAAAAAGTAAATGAATAAATAGTAAGCAATGCAATACAGATATAATTAAATACATTAAAATATATAACAGAGTCTGCACTGTTTAAAATACTTATATCAAATCATGAATTATAAATTCACATTTATATAAAATAGACATTCTTATCTAACTCAGACTTTAATAATTCTTGCAGATGATAGAGTTTCTTCTGTATTTAAAATAACATCAGATCACTAGTAGTCAGATGATTCAAGCATGAATTCTGCTTATACTTAATAGATATAAATATCAGAACAGAGTTGTAGTTTTAAATATACTTGCAGAAATACTTTGCATCAGCTGTATTATTATTAAACAGCTTATATAGCTCTTGTGAGAGTTCTTTAACAGATAGCAGTCTTACAGCATCTCTTACACAGCATGTGAAAAACACTGATAGAGTCTTTGATAATCTGTGTATATATTTATTAATTTAATACTTAGCTCTGTAGACAGAGCAGTAGATATTCATTCAGTTAAAATTAAGTAATTAATGATAATGAGTGTAGAACTGAAAGCTGCAGAGAATAGATTAGTGACTGTGAGTGATTAAAGAATTAACAGCTGATTCAGAGATAGTTGAGCTGATTCAATTGTTAAGAATATTAAGAAATAGTCACTCTGATGAATTTATATATATATAGTCTGTATGAACTGCTACAGCAGCTGTCAGATGACAGTATTTGACATCATAAGTATATTCATAATTAAGAGCTCAGCAGTTATTACAGTTCTTGAACACACAATTAATAGTACAGAACAGATGAGATGAACAGTTTTCACAGCACATATCACAGTGTGACAGCTCAACTCACTGTGAGTTGAGTACAGAAACAGCTACATCTCTCAATGATAAGTAGAAGGTTTGAACTGAATATGTCTGATGTGCATGACACTGAGCTTGACAGTACATAGAGCATGTACAGAATAATGCATTGAATTAAGAATGTTCAAACACACTGAGAGAATGAGAATTCTCACATGTCAAGCAGCAGCGCATGAAAGAGTATATTAATGATAATGAACATAGTACACAGGTTGTAATGAATGTAGATAAGAGTATAAAGAATGTAAATACAGTAGAGAACACCTGTAAAGAAAAGAATGAAGATTATCTATCAGAGTTGTACAGACCGCAGAGCCGGCTGTTAATCTCAATCATAAATTTGATGGGGTGCATGTGATATCATGTGAGGTCACATTACAGTGTTTTTTGCACGGAAAAGTTGGTTTTTCTTTAATATATAGAGAGATGTTGCGGCTGTCGCTTTGTCTTAATCTGTGTTAGTCGTTCCTCTATAAGCTACCACAATTAGTTACTGACGGACTTTGCATCATTAATAATTAGTTCGAAATGGCGTAGTTACAGCTATGTTAATTCAATGGCTCTGATGTCCTGATTTCAAAAGTTGGCAGATGAGAATCTCTCATCCATCCAGAAAACCCAAAACCCAACTTTCTTTTTGTCATCCATTTAAGTGCCCATGAAGTTGCGTTTGTAATTGGATCGGCTTCATCAAATCCTTGTCAATTCCCGTTTTCTAGATGCTATTCAGTCTATTTCCTTCTCAATTAAATCCAAAATCGAAGTGGTTGAGCAAGAACTCTTACTATCGGAATCAACCTGACCAATTGTCAAATTCACCTACCCAGCCACCCACCATCTAGCGAATCCTTATTGTGTCTCGACCAGAGCAGCAATAACGCGCCTCGCACCACTTATCAATGTTTGGTCTAGCCAATTCCTCAGCTTCCAGTAGCGGCGGGCCATCTTGTAGAATGTCTGTTTGCCAAGTCTCGAATCCGTTGGGTCTCTAAAGGCTAGCGCAGGGCGAGATGGAGTAACGAACGGTTGAGGTTTCGACAAGCTCCATGTCGTGTTTTTACCATCATCGCTTCTGGTTGGCCCGTATGTTCTTTTTTTACTGCGAGATGGCGCTAAAAGAGGGGAAAAAAATCTTGTGCTTTTTTTCATTGATCAATTGATCAAACCTCTCCGTTTCTCCCGTTGTTTTCCGTGGAAAATCCAGTGTTTTTGAAGGAGGGGATGGAACATGCATAACTGTCTTGTCATCAAGCACGTCCTCATTCGGGTTTCCCCCAGTGTGGTTCATCTAACGCGCTTTGACAACGTCGAACCACCCATGGAGGTGACTTGTCATTTTTTAGGATAAAGAAAAACGGACAAAGGGGAAAATTTTTTCTATAATTTCTTTTACTAAATTGTTTGTTTGCTCGAATGTATTATCCCGTTGGATGATCAAGAGGCGTAGCTGACCAGCGACAAATTTGTCTGGGCGAGATGGTGCTGGTATTGAAGTTAAGCTGTTAGGAGCAGATCTTTAATTATTAATGCACATGTCAAATATGGGCTGCATTGTTTGGGAAGGTAGCATCATGTAAACAGCCTGATGAACCGGCAGATACAAACATACCTAATAGATTAACATAGATGACAATTTAACATATGATATATCCCAGCAAACTGCAAGAGAGCCAACTTGGAATCTTTTAAACTTTCTTTGTCTTGCCTTGGGGTCTTGTGTTGGGTTCCCCATGGGGATAAAGCGCCATCTATATGCGTTATAAACATGCGGAATTTCCATCCCCAGCATAATAAAGAAAAGAGCAATAACATTTCCAACGGTTGGTAGCATGGAGAATATGTTTTTTCCCTTCCTTCTTTCACGCCGTTGACGATCCATCGTAGTTTCTTACATGCAGAGTGCTGATTGGTGTAACGCATGCCGGTGCGCAAACGGTTTCAGACAAGAGTGTCTGATATGATGACTGGATGGTGGAACAACCGTTGAGCAGCAGATTCAGGCCACCATCATAGTACGGTGATAGCACTTTTCAAAGAATATTCACTCTTCATTTCACTCCTTTTCTCCAGCAGTACAACGCTCAGGTGGCATTGGTAGAATCATCGAGAACATACAGTCTGTAAATATGGCAGTGGCTGGTGGATGACAAGGCGGCAGAGTGCTTGGAACTCTTCATCCCTGCTGAAACGGCATCTTTTTGTGTTGGAGAGACGTGGTATTTAAGTGGTGGAATTTCTTAATCCTCATTCAACTTGTGAGGTATCATGATAGGTACCAATTCAACGAGGTTGAATGGCACCACCCATACGGAGATACAGAACTCATTGCAACAAGGAGGTTAGCCTCTTGAATAAAATAAATTTGCAGAAGTTGGTCGATATTGAAATATTGATCAACCTGTTTTCAAATAATTACCAATAATACTGAAACAACCTCAATAGTAATACAGTAATATTGATAGAAGCCTAAGATATTGAACCGAATCTCCAGAAGAGCAAGGCCATACATACCATGGAGTCCTGGAGAGTCTTGGTCAATGGCCGCAACCATGCCCTGGATCTCAACTCAAAGGATCTGTGGTAGACTGGCGTGTCCTAGTTCTAGGAACCCGAACCTTTTATAGCGCCGCCCTTGACGAAGCCAACGAACTAGATCATCAGCACTATTGTTCCTCTTCCTTTCTTCCTACCAATTCATTCAAGGAATGTTCACGGCTGCCGATCTTGGGCGCACCCCGTACAAAAGGATGGGACATCGTAATCAACATTCGCCGATAAGTTAATTCGCTTTGTGTTGCAAACCCCGAAGATACTATTCTGGACAAGTAAAAATTATATTCAACGAACAGTGCGAAATTATAAGGTCCAATTGCGGTAGATCATCTATTGTTCACCACACTAAGCAACAATAGTTCGTGTTAGAGAGAAAGTAATGGAAGCATCGGCTGAAAAACTTTCTTCTGCAAGAACTTCTGAAGATTTCAAAACCACCTTCTGGAGATCACCCTCTGGTGCATGGAGGTTACATGAGCTTCCCCAGACAAATTGTGACTGATGGCGAGCTTCGGGGTGATTCTTCTATTTTTCTGCATGCGTCTTTATTGCTTCTCACCTGGCGTGTCAAGATTTCACTTGGCAAGATGCAAATTTTCTGTGTGGGGACAAGCGGGTTCAACCACAGCATTGCGGGCCAGGGCCTGGCCGCATCATGGTTATGATCAGGTTAACGCGGCCTAATGCAACGGCGGGAATGCAGCCCAGTTGCCAATTAACTTGCTCCCAGGCCTTCTGCCTCCTTCCACAGGACAACCACAGGTGGAGAATGGGCGCTGGCGGCTTGCAGTAGTCTCGTCCTATGTCCATGGAGACGGATCTCTCGGTGTCAAACCTAATAGTTCAACCACCATTGCTGACGGAAAGCAGAAAGGTCAAAAATTACACGCTGATAAAGTTAACTATGGATGCCAGGAGTCAGCGGCCAGAGCTCGAGTCTGGACTCAATGCCACAATAATAACAAGTTACAGTAGGATTATAATTGACTTTCCAAATCGCCAATCTAAAATTGAAATCGATGGGGTTGTCATCTGTCGACTCCACCGGGTGGGGTGGTGAGAAACCTCACGCCGCCATTTTCAGCTAACAATGCAGCGCAGCCATTCGGAACGCAGCTAGTCATCCCGTAGCTCGCCAGCCAGCGCCCCCATGTTCTCCTCTGCAGAGGTTGGAAGCTCACGTTGATTTCTTAACGTGTCCAAATCCTCATATCTGATTGATGATTGTTTTACGTTCCTCCTACAGCCGTTCTCATACAATCGTGAAAGACTCGATGTTGGGGTCATGATCCTTGACTGGAAGCCTTATGGGCCATCAACGCGTAGGCAGATGTGAAGGCATGTGCAGGAGGAATATATATTTTTTTACCACATCCCACGCAGCCAGGCCCTGTTCGAGAAACTGATATCCTTTCCAAACCAATACGAGGAAAGGAATGGATTGTCTTGACGGCACATGGCAAGGCTGAATCAAATGTGAGCAGTCTCGCCGATTCGTCTCAACTTCCAACTTGCAGATACTTTTCTTTTCCCTCGAATTCCTATCCCCCAAACAGCAAGGTTCACTCCCATCTGTGGACCCTCCCCTCGAACGTGGTCCGATGGCAGCAGTTAAGAGAGGCATTTGCCCAAAAAGAACCCCCAATTATCAACACCTCCAGACTTCAAGGCATAATAGCAAATAGTCGAGAAAAACCCTGCACGAGTTAACCTGATGGCATTTTAGTTCCCCACTTCCCCCGAAACCAAGTGAAAAAAAAAAAAGGTAAACCATACCTAGTAACTAATGGCCCCCTAGAGGCTATATTGAATTCCCAGCACACTGGTTTAGCAGGACCACGCGGCTGTTCTTCATATCGATTCCATCGTCCATCGAAACATTAGAGCCTCGAGCCTATCCGATTGGCCCATCACATCGGCGGGATCGCTCCAGCTCACTGGGGCCAAGAGAGCGGAACATGGGGCCGGTAACCAGAAAATAATAATAATGGAGTGGACTCGATTCCCCTCCGGGGCCGGGAACGGGCGACGGGTGGGAGTGAAAAAGAAAAAACAAAAAAAAAAAAGCAAAGCAATTGAGTGCTTGGACAACGGCCGACGTAATCTCACTGGGCAAAGATAACCCTTCCCTATTATCATCCACCACATGGTGCTAGTTTTGCTTGTAAAAGCCAATAGTAGTAAGAAGATATCTCAGCCAGGCTTCGAGAGTTGGGTGGTTCCATCCTGGGTTGGGTGGGCCAAAATGACACTTCCCGGGCCCGATTCCGCGGTTCAAGGGACGGAGAGTGGTGGAGCCAAAGTATGATAGTTAATAATAGTTTCCCTTAACTAGTCGCAGCAGAGCTTACCTTTAGCCAGTTTTGGATGTGAATGTGATCGATGTGACTGGTGAGCTTCAACAAAAAATTAAAAGAAATTCCATGATACAGCTGGTAACTACGGTACGGAGACTAGAAGAATGATTGAAAGGCTTTAGAGTCAAGAATAATAACGCCATTGTTGATGTCCTTGTCTATTCTGATCTTGGGAACAAAAAAACTTATGATCAGCATGAAAATAGCTCAGAGCTTTGAGCATAATATCTTACCTGTTTTAATTTTACGCTCGTGTGACGCCCCTGGCGTACAAAAATTTCATTTTTGCAATACCATACCTGAGGGGATCAATAGCGGTAACGCGGAACAAAAGAGCTTCCTAACAAAAGAGCTTCCTTATTCCTATGCGGAAAAGTCGCTGGTGGGAATTCCTTTTAATTTTTAATTCTTTTTTGATATTTCTATTGGTTTTTTATGTTCTATTTGTTTTGGAGGGAATGGACCATTCAGGGAAAACTCCTTTGATATTCGTAAAAGAAAAGTTGGATGTCTCCCTTCTCTGAGCATGACACACACCATTTCGCCGCATTTAGCCATTTTAGGACATTACGCGGGTAATAATTAAGACTGGTATTACGGCTTATTTGGTACGTGCATGAAACCGGTTGGTGGCCCGACAAGTTACGCTTTTTACTAGAAAATTCCTTTGGGGGCCAGATTCCTGCTGAAAGGAAGCAGTTCAGGAGCCTTACCTCACTTGACAATAAGTTGCCATTATTTTAGGGGCCGGTCATTGAATGATTGGTGCGCAAAATGAGGTTGGGTTTTCGGAAATTGGGCGGCTGCGGGTAAGCGTACTAAACAAACCGCTTCACCCCTGTTGGACCTCGTAATAAATTCATTCTCGAACGCTCATGGAAAAATTCTAAATAGAATACTAGCGGGTTGGATCATGTGACTCGGCGCATTGCTTGCTCGGTGCTGATCCCTATCAGCATTGGTTGGGAGTGGTTGAATCCAAGGCATTGATCATTTTGTTGTCTAATTGGCACGGAAAAGGAGGATGGAGAGGAGTTTTGGCCACAAATATACGTGCAGATGAAAACAGTGCCCTGTCTATGACTGTTAACAATTCTTGAAGAACTCATATCCAAAGGAGCACCTTGTGAGGCACTTTATGGTCAGTGACGATGTTGATCGACGCAGCCCCAACTGAAGGAACCCAGGTTTTCCGCTTTCCTTTCTTTTTTCCCCCCAGCGGTTGGCTGACATCTGTTGGAAGATGGATTAGCTTGCGAGTTTCCTGGCTGGGTTCTGGAGATATTCTCGGACACAGATTTTCCGAAAGCTCGTGTTTAGGGTTATGTATCTGCCACTGATCAATCAAGCAGGCTTTTTAATCTTAATTAGCATTGAGCAGGAGCGTCGGCAATCACGGTATTTGTCCGAAAAGCTGTGATCTCTGGCCATTTCGATTTTCACGCACCTGGTTGAGAGAGAGGGGCCTGAAATATCGAGGAGAAAGAGAGATAATAAATAACGGAATGAAAAGGGTTGCAACGTCTAACCTCGCCGGATTGTGCTTATGGTGGAGCCCGCATTTGCTCCACATCCCACCCACCGGCACTGCAGCAAGGCTGGAATGTCCCTTGTAACATGCCGGTACTTGACGGAAACGTGGAGAGAGTACTTGAAGCTCCAAGCTCACCCTGCAGCTAAAATTCAGAAACGGGCCAGAAGAGCAGATGCCTTCGGCAATGCATGGAGATCATCCAGTCACAGAGGTTCATATGATGTCAAGAAAAGGAAAGAAATTCTGAAAAACCGAAGCCACTACTCTAGCCGCCAACAGACTTCGGGCTTTGAGCAAAGAGTAACGTTCGCTTGTATGCGGTTGAGTCGTAAGAGGCCGGGAGAGATGAAAGGAGAATCCACAGCCAGCCCTGTTGTTCCCTGCTGACCACATGCGAAAAAGTTTTTTGACAACCCATGGTTGCGCCAGCGGGCCGCGGGCCTGGTCCAAGGAACCACACAAGGGAGCACCGTGGAGATGCCCACTTAGGGATAATCGGTGGAGCATTCTTACATGCTCTTCACAATAATGTATGCCGTAACAAAGCCCCCAAAAACGAAGATAAAAATCGCGAATAATGTGTAAAAATATAACTCCATTAAAGTAATTATTATTAATCAACTTGCATGCATAACTCCGTACGAATGGAAAATAAAGCAAAGCCGAGGGGCGGGAATATTGATAGCGTGAGAAAAAAAAAAAAAAAAAAAGAAAGAAAGAAAGAAAGAAAGAAAGAAAGAAAAGGCCAGAGCTAGTTTGGAGTTCCAAGATTTTAACAAGGATTCGAGAGCTGGCTAGAAAGTTTCTAGCGTTTTTCTAGCTTTCGATGGCGGCTCCTCAAGGACTCCAGCCATCTTTAGTGCGTTTCCCGTGGATGCTCGATTTGCTCGGCTGGATGAATAAATGGATCATTCCTCAAGCCATGGCCCATGGATGATAGATCATGGTGCAACATGGGAAGTTGTTTCGGTGATATGGGCCCATGGTGCGACTCCCACCCCATTTCCATCATCTAATATTATTCCCGCCCTGACAACGGAAATCCTGGCTAAGCCACAGACGGTCCGTACTCCGTAGATTGAAGGAATTTTTTGGTTTTTAACAGGGGGATCTCGTATCTTACTCGTAGCGCCTTCCATATGGTAAGAAAAGAGCGACAAGATTTGTTTAAAAGCACATCTCAGCCCCCCAAATTCAAATCATGACTCGTTTGAGAACATGATTTGAGTCAGAGTTTCTTCGTAAGCGTGGCTTGCTTGGGTGACGCCTTTTTTTCTCGACCAGAGTCGGCTAACGGAGCCCCATTCTCACGCTGCCATCTGCGGATCGGCCCTGGCAGTCGATAACCTGCGGTAGGAGCAACCATTATTGTGCGGATGGAGCAGCTGAAACGCCCCCGGCTAGGAAACAGTCTTCGCCTTGTCTCGTTGGTTTGGTGACAATTGATGATACAGTTTCCCCGGCTATCTTCCTGAAATCTGAAATTGTGTTTTCGAGAGAGCGATTGTTGGATGGAACAGTCCAGCTAGGACACAGAAGTTGATCCGAGGCCTGAATGCCGAGACAACACCCGTATGAGCAACGGGCATCCATCGATCTCCAGGTATGTACAGGCCAGATTTTACTCCGTATCATCACACAGCCCATCCATCCCTCGTATGCCCCATACGAAATATGCAACCTCCACGTGGATATCAAAAGAAATGGATGTCAAGGTAGTTAGTTAGTGATCGGTTTTATTTTGCATTTAATTTTGTTAGGCAATTACACCGTCATTTTTCTTCCCACTTGCCCTGTTGTTTCCTCTAACAACAAAGGAGATTTATTCTATTATTGTGGGAAAGAGTGCATTCGCACAAACTTTGTTGAAAGCAGCCAACCATGATTGGAAATAGTGTACCCATCCGACTTAGTTACTTCAGACAAAGCCCGGAGGATGTTAACAAAGGAGTAGGAGACTAATAATAATAATATAAAAGAATATGTTAGGCAGTTGGATTGGAAGTCCTCAACAAGCCTCTTTGCATTTAAAGTTTAAAAGCATGCACCCTTATTCACTTCATTATTTTTATTATTCCTCTACAGTAGTTACTATTCATCTTTGTTTGATCTGATCTGCGTTTCTCCCCGTACATTGCTATGTATTAATAATTTGACAAACATATTCTGAATAATTTTTTTGTTTTATTTTCTTATTCTTATAATATATACAACCTTCATCCCATCATTTTTCGGTGAGCTTGATCATCCTCAGAAGCCATCATCAGAAATAATCACCATGATTATCATTAATACACAGTATTTCCTCCCTCTTTTGAAGTCTGTGTGGTGTGGTGTGGTCGCGTTACGCTCGCTAAGCGACGTACATCTCTTAGGGTGAAACGACCGCAGGGATTGAAGGGCGACAGGCGCTTCCCCATAACACCAAATAAAGCCTGTCAGGAATGGTTCAGCCAGGTTTAGGATAAATTATTTCTTTTTCCTCCCTCCAGTACAGTCGTACTCTTTGATTTTATCCCAACAACCAACGGGGGGTAGCTGAACCACCCAACGCCTTTTCTCGTTACCAGGCCTACATCCCAAGTATGACGTTTGTTTTCAGATCCCCGATATACCGAGCCGGGTGAACACTAGTTACTTCCTCTTTAAGTAGTGCGGAAGTTATCTTTGAAGTAGCGAATCTTGAAATCAGGGTGAGGCTTACGGAGTACATGGAGTCAACATATAAACTCCATTATTCTTTGAAATAACTATTGACCACCTCACCTGTAATTTAAAAATGATCAGTTGTGTTTACCAGCATCATGTCAAGGCACCGCCTCGAGAAACCCAATACTTGTTGGCTACGCAGGTTGTTGCCTACCTGCCCAAGCGAGTAACTGGAAATAGCTGGTTGGAATGATCCAGGAAGGTTCGAGCCAACAACTATCCAGGTTGGTAAATAAAAGTTCCAAGGTTCATGTATCCCGTTCCTGTCATCGCGCGCTGTGCCTGGACACAACCCCTGTTAAGCATTTTAGTTCATTTCCGATTTCTCATATAATTCCGTCTTATCATTTTCCCGTTCTGTGTGTGAATATGTGGCATGATTCATCACTTCCTGCATGGCATCAGCTCTCGTCTTGCTCACCAATCACCAATCCTATCAAGCAAGTGAGGAAAAATCCAGCCGTCATTTTTCGAAAGTTTTGAGACTGATATCGGGCTGTCTAACAAGTCATATTGATGAAATACCATCCAGACCAGTTCAGTCACAGTCTTCTTCGCGAACGTATCACTTTTTCCACTTGGACCATCTACAGATCGATGCCACTAACCGGCCATGATTAGACGCCCTTCCTAGTTGAGGACTTAGCTTGGCCACATGCGCTATGTGTAACTGCGACATCATGCCTGTCCTACCAGACACAGAGTACCGGATGTGGTGTGTGAGCAGAGACCTTAGAGGTCAATCAAAAGGTCTGCAAA